GAAGAAAAAAAAAAGAAAGAGAGAGAGGGGGGCTGGGCTGTGTCTGGGCAGCCATGGGAGGAAAAAGGAAGGGGAAAAAAAGAAAAAGAAAGGAAAGAAAAGAAAAGGAAAAGAAAGAAAGAAAAATAAATAAATAGGAAAAATAAATAAATAAATAAAACTACATTAAAATTAAGTGTATTTTTAAAAACTTTTGAGGTGAAAATTGAAAAACTGAAAGTAATTTATAACTCCTTAAAATAACTCAAAAACTTAATCTTTAATTACAAGATTAATTAAAAAAATCAATTTTAGGCACACTAATATGGACAATTGACATAATTAAACATGTTTACTTCTGGAGGGCGATACAGTTGTCTTCAAGCCATAACCCCAAAATGAAGTGGGTAGCGAAGAATAACTTAACATGGATCTCACCATGTCTAGCAAAGTCTGATTTCTCCTTTCTGCAATGCCATTCTGCTGTGGCATTCTAGGTGGGATAAGCTATGAAAGTATACCGTTCTTAGTCAAGTAGTCTTTGAATTCTATATCCAAATATTCACCTCCCTGATCCAATCAGAGTACTTTGACTAGTTTACCTAACTATTTTTCAACTTCTGCATGGAATTCTTTAAACTTTTCAAAAGTTTTAGATTTCCTTTCATTAGATAAATATAACCATACATTGAATAATCATCTATAAAAGTGATAAAATATTCATAACCTCCTCGTGCTTGGACATTTAAAGGTCCACATACATCTGAATGTATCAGCTCTAGGGGTTGTTTGGCTCTTTCGCCTTTAGCCGAGAAAGATCTTTTGGTCATTTTACCTTCCATATAGGATTCACAGACAGGCAGCTCACTAACTTTTAGTTCGCGTAAAGGACCATCCTTTATAAGCCTTTCAATCATGTTTAGGTTAATGTGGCCAAGTCTAAGATGCCATAAGTATGTATTATTTTCGTGAGAAATCTTTTGCCTCTTATTCTTAGGTTCGACAACCTTGAACATTTCAATATTAAGCAGTGTGTTATGTATAGGTTTTATACTATATAAACTACCATCCAGACATCAAGAACAAATATTCAAGCCATTTCTAGAAATATGAACCAATTCATTATCAAAAGAAATTTTAAAATTAATAATTAATTAAACTCTTTAATTAATTAATTAATTCTATTAATTCCAAAAGTTACTCCACTAAAAGCTTAGAATTGCACTCTCAAAATTATAGACATAATTTACGTCTAAGAACTTGAAGTGTCCATTTGATATAGTCACTACATATAGATCGATCCTCCATAAATAATTCATAATTAGAGCTAGGTAAAATCCGCTAACCTCTCTAATTCAATCTTTATCTTTGAGTACCATTGATTCTCTAATGAATAGTATATTCATAAAACACATTCATGAATACAAGCTCGTTACCTATTCAAGTACCGAATCAACCCTCAAGGGAATTATTTATCTGCTTCTTCAAAGAAGAAGGAATGGATTCCATCTTGTATATTAGCATTCTCGGCTATCCATTTCATCATGTTTCCAAGATACAAGGAATAAGATTTAGTATCACAAAATCCTTACCGAGTAAATCAAAGAACACAAATCCACAAATAGGAGTCTACTAACAACTCAGGATTAAGATCATTCTCTATATGACCATCGGTAGACTCAACTTTGATTTTCTACATTTAACAGAAATTATCAAAAAATCAAATTGTGTCTGTGTCTCAGTTTTGCATAATCTCATTATGCATAATACACTCATTCAATATCCCTCTATATTAATGATGCGGATAACACCATTCCATTCTTAATGGGAATGCCATGTATTAGTAATGTTTGAATTAACGATTCTGAAACTTTAATTAAATTCATTACGAACATTGTTTCGATTATTATCTTTAAATACTATCCTCTCGTATATAATACTTATATACAACATTTAAGGTTAGATAAATAATCACAAAATTTTTAATGATATTCATAAAGTATTCAATAATACATGCACATAAATAATGAATAAACTATTTTATTAATCAAATAACAAAATATCCTTATTACATCTCATGCTTTAAGGACACTATTCCCAATAATTTATTCATAAATTAATTTATTAGCACATAAATTAAAGTATTCTATAGAGTATCTCAAAAGTTTATTAAAATTTTTATTATACACGATCCGCTAGATAATGCTTCCTTATAGAAAATTGTTTTCAAAACCAACGGGAAGTAGTTTGTCATTGCTGCGTCCACTATGGAGGCTGAGTTTATGACATGCTTTGAGGCCAATGTTCATGGTTTATGGCTGCAAAACTTTATTTCAGGACTAATTGTTGTCGACAGTATTTCCAAGCCACTGAAATTTATTATGATAACTCCGCAATAGACTTCTTTTCTAAAAACAACAAGTATTCAAAAGGTGATAAACACATGGAATTGAAATACTTTGTCATTAAAGAAAAAATTCATAAACAAAGAGTGTCAATCGAACACATTAACATCATGATTGCGGATCCGTTTACAAAAGAGTTGCCACCAAAGACATTTAATGAACATGTAAAGAATGGACATTATTGAAAACCATTATTGATGTTATAATGATGTTTTATGTTCCTCATGTATTTGACACTCTAAGCTCAATTAAATATTATTTCTGATATTTTAGTACATCCTGTTGCATTACGTTAGTATATACATGAATGAATTATGTGAGCATTAACAGGATTTGTCTCTGAAGGAGACATTATGGTTGGACCATTATTATATTTCTCATTTACATGTCATGTTAAGTGGGAGCTAATGTTGTAGTACATGGAAGGGACTATGTCAAGATAAGTGATGTACAATCGCTATGACTCACATTAGGCTTTTGCTTAATTATGATTTATGATGTGACCAATATAAGAAAGGATTTATCCATGATATGCGCATTATGTTTGTTTTATTATTTTTAAAACATGAAGTCAAATAGTGTCACATGGATCAAGTGGGAGAATGTAAAAATTTTCATTAAGTGCTCCATGTGCATTTATGAATATTTTCAATTAAGGAAATTTGATACAATGGTTAATAAAATAATAAAAGGTAAATCCTATTGGTCAACTAGAGAAATAGTAATTTTCCTAAATTAATGGTTCTTTGATGAAAAGAAAATATTTGATGAAATTAAAAAATTGATCATCTCTCTGCTTATAAATAAGCGTATGAGTATGTACATTAGAAAAAGAATTAAGGGAGAGAAACACAATTTTTTCTAAAATCCTCTCACTTCAAGAATTCATCATAGATCAATCGTAAAAATTATTTAATTCTAAGATCTTGGGCATTATCATTTATGTAAAATTATAGGCCTCGTTCACTTCGCGGATTCGAGTTTTTAATTTGATTTGAGATGTGACATTTTTTTAGAGCTTTTCACTGCAACAAAAAAAATTAAATGTGATATTTTTTGAAAATTTTTTACTGTAAAAACTTAAAATTAAAAACTCAAATTGATAAAATGAACGAGTTTTATTTACATAATTAAAAAATTACTTACATGCTTAGCTCTAACTTCAAAGGTATAATATGTACGCAGATTTTTCAGTAAGTTGAGTCCGTCAACTGTCATGTAAAGAACAGATTTTGCCTCATCCAACACTGTAGCTAGAAAGTGCCCTATCTATCTTCTACACGTTTCTTCGCCAGCTATTCCTTTCTTCCCTATTCTTATATGAATCTAGTTCGGTCAACGTTCGACCTAGGTTGGCAGATTTTCCTTTCCCTCCTTTTTAAAGCTCTTTTTTTTCTTTTTTTTTATATTAATTCGTTTGGTTGGAGGATCTCATAATTTTAATTTATAAATTAAACGGGTTTTAATTTTTAGAAAGTCTTTACGGTGCGACCTTTTAAAAAACTCAACGTTAAAACATTCTATTCTAACTGTTAAATTAAAATTTTAATGGTTATATTGTATAAATTCATATTAAAATTTTATAGCGCGATATACATGATTTTTTTGTAAATTTGACTGTTAAAATGGTAATTTAACAGTCAAAACAGTGTTTCGCCGGTAAATTTTTTTTAAGAAGTCTTGTTGTAGAAAAAACCTAACTTTTAACCTCTTTAATGAAGTTTAGGTCTCGTTCAGTTTTTAAATTTGAGTTTTTAATTTAAATTAAGATGTAATTTTATATTAAAATTTTTTACAATAACATAAAAAATTAGAACTGACTTTTTATAAAAATATTTAACTATAATAAAATTAAAATTAAAAATATAAATTGATAAAATAAACGATACCTAAATTTCACGAGAAAGCCGCCCATTACACAACTACCATTTCTTGGAACACACAAACAGACTTACTCACACACACACACACACACACACACACACATATATATCCAACCAAAAAAAGAACAAAAGGATAATTATTATGTTACATAAGTCAAAATAAGGCTTGAAAAAAGTCTTTTTTTTTTTTTTAGTTTATTTATATAGTTTATTTTTATTTTTTTAAATAATATTTATAACTAAATAAAATAAAAAAATCCCTCTTTGATTTTGTCCAAAGAAACCTTTAAAAAATTAGATTATTGATAGAATTTTGATATGTGTAAATATAGAATTAAACTGATGAATTTATTGATTATTACATCTAATTCAATTAAAATATTGTATGAAAGTATGATTTATTCTATTCACTTTTGATTTGAGAGTTGAAGTTGAAGGAGTTTTGATTGGGCGAGTTCAAATCAAAGAAGTTTTTTTGGTCTATCTAATTTATTTTTATTCATTTTCCCTTATATCAATAACTCAACTTATTAATAACTCAATCAAAATAAATACAATTATCCTCAAGAACAAAATGTTTTTTATGCTTAATATATTTAGTTTGATTTGTATCTGTCTTAATTCTGTCCTTTATTCAAGTAGTTTTTTCGTCGCCAAATTGCCCGAGGCCTACGCTTTTTTAAATCCAATCGTAGATGTTATGCCAGTAATACCTTTGCTATTTTTTTCGAATTCCTCCCAAAAACTCCCCTCCTTCGCCGGAGATGCAAAATCCCCACCCTCCGCCGCTACAACAGCCGCCTTCCTCCTCCTCCTCCTTTCTCCCCTTCTCCACCTCCACTCTCAAAGAACCCAAAACCACACTCTCCATAGTACTCGCCACCTCCCTCTTCTCCCTCATCTTCTTCCTCGCCCTCTCCTCCTCCTCCTCCTCCCCCTCTCCTCCCCCCTCCCGCCCCGACCCATTTCTCTTCCCGACCCACCTTTCCTCCTCTCCCTCCTCCTCCCACTCCCCTCCCTCCCTCGCCTACCTTATCTCCGGCTCCAATGGGGACTCTTCTCGCATTCTCCGCCTCCTCTTCGCCACGTACCATCCCCGCAACCACTACCTCCTCCACCTCGACCGCTTCGCCTCCGCTGCCGAGCGCGATCGCTTGGCTATCAATGTCCAGTCGATTCCGATCTTCAAAGCTGCGCAGAATGTCGATGTTGTCGGAAAGGCAGATTTCGTTTACCCTAAAGGGTCCTCTTCGCTTTCCTTCACTCTTCACGGCGCTTCCATGCTCTTGAGATTGAAGCCCAATTGGGATTGGTTTGTTAGCCTTGATGCCGGTGATTACCCGCTTTTGACGCAGGATGGTATCGATTTTTTTTTTTTTTGGTGGATTAGGGTTTGGGAATTTTGTGTTTTATTGTGGGATTTCTGATCTGGGTTTTCTTTTTTGGGTTAGATTTTCTTCACATTTTGTCGTACTTGCCTAAAGGTCTCAACTTTGTGAAGCATTCGAGCTACATTGGATGGAGAGAGTATGGATGATTATGATTTGGTTCTGGGATTTATTGATTTTTGACTTGCATTTTGAGTTTGAGTGTTTTTTTTTTTTTTTTAAAGGTATGGGATTTGTTTGATTATGCAGGTCTAAGAAGTTAAAGCCTATAATTGTTGATCCGGGGCTTTATCTTTCGGAGAAAACAGCACTCTTTTATGCTTCTCAGAAGAGAGAATTGCCTAATGCTTATCGGCTGTTCACAGGTACTAGGTCTCTCTGTGCTCTTAGTTCAGTAATTCGTTGACCAAAAAGAGGACATTACTATGTTAGTTTTGAAGCTATGAAGTTAATGAATGAACACAGATGTTACATTCAGGTTACTTTAGAGAATGTGTCATCTCTCGAACTAATTTCCTAGGGACCATGTCATCTATTACATCGAATCTTTCCGTTGTTTACTGATCAATGGTTTGAAGGTAGGTACTCCAGTAAGCAAAGAGATGAGATGACGGGATGCGGTTTAGAACTGTGACTAAAAAAGTTGAAGCGGTTCATATGGAGTTGTGTAATGCATTATAAGCTAGAGCTTCATCGCCTATGACATAGGTTAACCAACTACGGTGCTATTGTTGCCGTCGATCTTGAGGATCAATTTTCTAGTAAGGTGGTTTTTGGCCCCGGAGAGAAGTTAGCTACAAGAGAGAGTAATCCAATTAGTAGTTCCCACTGGCCACTAGTTAGTGCTTAGTGTTTTGGTTTGTACTAGTGATGACTAATAGATATAAATGGATAATATAGTTGGTATAGAAACTAATGTAAGATAAACAATAATTTGTGCAACTATGATCCTGAGAACTGTCTATCTACTGGGGACTGGCTGCATCTTTACTGTTAATAGAGTTTTTTTCAACTTGATATTGGACTGAATTCAGTACCATTTGCAAAGCTAGAATAGGAAGTTGAGATTTGTTTAAATTTTACAACCAAATAGGTCTTACAATTCAGTAGCATTGTCTCTATTCAGAAATGATGGTTTGATGTGTATGAGCTGCTTGTGTAAGCTTATGTGTGTCTTGAACCTAAATTCTCTTTCTATTCTTCCTGCCTTGTTCTCTGTCTAATGAATTAGATTGACATATCATCATAATGGGTTAGAATTTTGGGAAATTGTCGAGTGGAGTGGTAGTTGTTGCATCAACATGACGTGTAGGAAAATAACTTAATATAAAAGAAAGCAAGACGGAAAAGAATGGAGAGGATTCACGTGTATATATATATATATATATATATATATATTTCTTATGTAAATAACAATATCCTTGAGAAGAGTCTAGTGAGTGACGTGTGTTTGTTTTAATGGGCCAAATTGAAGACTACGGGTGTAAATTAAGTTGGGTGCCACTTTCAAAGTCTAGTCCATATCATTTTTATGTGTAAAGGCTTAAATTTTCACAGAAGTGGTATAATCGAATACCTTTTCTCTAGAAGTGGTATTCCTCTAATTCACCCGTGACCACCATGATATATAGGCTCCCTAGAAGTTATTTATTACTAAAATCACAAGAGACCAAAACTTTAAATACCCAACTTGATAACTTCCATCTTTTCTGTAATTAGTTGGTCATTTATTTCTTGGAACGCCTGATACAATAGTTATAGGAAAAATCTAAGAAATGTCCAGCTAACTCTTTGAATAATTTTCTTTGCAGGCTCATCCTTTTCCATTCTCAGTCGCAATTTTGTCGAATTTTGTATCCTAGGAACAGATAACCTCCCACGAACTCTGCTGATGTATTTCTCCAACACGCCTTCGTCTCTTTCCAACTACTTTCCCACCATTCTGTGCAACTCCCGCCAGTTCAACAGAACTATCATAAATCACAACTTAAAATATGCAAACTTTGACAAACCATCAAACGAGAAGCCCCTGCGGCTGACATCTGATGATTTTGATGCCATGATTCAGAGCGGAGCAGCCTTTGCGGCTAGATTCCAGTCAAGCGATCCACTACTCGACCGTATCGACAGAGAAATTTTAAGACGTGAAAGGGGGCAGGTTGTGCCCAGCGGTTGGTGTTTAGGTGAGTCTGGAAACAACACATGCTCTGTATGGGGAGATGCCGACCTTCTGAGGCCTGGTTCTGGTGCCAGAAGACTTGAGAAACTACTTGTTGAATTGCTCTCCAATACTACCTCTGTGTCTAACAGATGTATATTTGAATGATTCCAATGAAATGGAGGGCTTCAAGCTGTGGCCTAAGGCCTTTCTGAAATTTGTAAATTCGTCGGGAGGGCTTCAGGCTAATTCTTTTAGGAACAATAAATTCTTTTCAGACTCATCTGAGTAGAGGCATTAAAGACGGTGGTGCTACAAGCTGGCCAACCAAGTAATTGTTGTTTACAAAAGATGTTTCGAGGAAACATACAATGTTGTATTGAAGATGTATTTGTATTGAATTTACCGTATAAGAAGTAACCCTCGAGAATTTGTTCATTGTTGTATGAGTAACATGACAAGTGAATTATCATTTTCAAGTAGCCTCCGAGAAGGAAGAAAGGGTCAGGTAAGGTTTTTATTTTCATTTATTTATTTATTTATTTTTCTTACCAGTAGAAATAGTTAAAGAGTTTTAAAGAAAGGAGTCAATAGGCTAAAATTTTTTGAAAATATATTTTATTTATCTAGTTTAGAAACAACCACAAATTGAATAGCGCAAAGCCTTACTACTTTTTTTTTTTTTTTTATAAATAGGAAAAACAAACAGCCTTATTTTGTTGTTTCTAAGAAGCTCCTAATACAAGAGACAATTTTTCGTTGAGCCGTATCTGATGCAAGAATGTGTATTTCTTCCTACAAAAAGAGCTCCAGTAGCAGAACAATGTCTCACTTTTTACTTCATTACTTAATGTAGATTGTAGAGTCTCTTGTGATCCATGCTCCAACATCTTCGGACTGGGACCTCAGGGATTCATAAATTCTTCTACAAAACTCCAAAAAATGTGGCTACGGCAAAAATTAGAAACAGTACACCTCCCAAATAGCCAACCTGATTGAAGATGAGATTGAGTTGCACCATTTATTTTGAAAAGTTCGTTGTGTCGTCATTATAAATTTATTGCTCTTCTTACCAGTTTTTCAGATATGTAATTGGCGAGAAATGCACCTCCTATGATCGCAATGAGCGTCGCAAGTAAGTGGCCGGCTATGGCCCCGCTGGCCACACCCCATGGAGACTGCAGGATAAAGAAAGCCCAGTTCGATATATTGTAAACCGAAGTATCACTAGAGTAGAAGACGAGTGCCAATTAAAAAAAATTAAAAAAAAAAAAAAAAAAAAAAAAAAAAAAAAAAGGCAAAATCATTGTACAAGTGAAACCGAGCCAAAACTAGAACAAAATTAAACCTGTGCAGCACCAAGAGCAATTGTGGCCAGCATTGACCGATCTCCCCATTCCTAGAATCAAAAGCCACGTGTTAAAATTTGAACATCAGATCAAATTTGCGACAAAATGTTGCTGCAGACAACGGTAGAAAACATGCTTACAGCAAAAAATACGAGGCTGAACGACTTCCAGACAACTTCAAGTGGATTCGAGAGGCGTTTAGACACCTGGGATATTTGAAGAAAGAAATAAAAGGAGATTACACTCTGCTAAGAATATATCTAAAAACGCCGCGTATACGTTCATCAGTCTATAAGTATGGTATATCTGAACTGAATCATTCACAGAGGTTCTTAATCTTTTGAATGCCTGAACATTAAAAACAATACTAAAATGATAAAAGCATAAATTTATACATGATATGATGATGAATATAGCATCGGCAAGGGACTAAGGGTAAAGAGAAGGTTAAAAGAAGACCACCTTTTCCTTCACAAGCTCCTCAGCTACAACAAATTCATCGAGTTCGGGACTACTATTATCACCAGTCTTATCAACATTTGATGGAAGGTCCCATGCATCTTTTATCGCTTTGAGGCCGAAGAACAATAGAAGAGTTACGGCTGCATACTCTCCAATTGGCAAAGCTATCACGTGACCACGAAACAGAATGACAGAAAATCAGGACATTGGATGTCAAATATGCTATGCTCAAAAGTTTCTTAAGCCGAATACACCATTGTTTCACACCATAACATTCTCAACAATAAACATAGACAGTTCAGCATCATGTGAATTGAGCTAAGAGCATGAAAGAGGGAGAAACGAATAAGGAATTTACACAAAAAAAGAAGAGAAATTTTAATCTGACAGTGAGATCCTAGCAAATGGAAGTAGCAATAAACAGCCAAAAGTGAGATTGTTAATGAACATATATACTATGTCAATGATTCTTTTGATGGTGGACCTGATAGCTTTTGTAGATAAGGAGTTTTCAACTTTTCTTCAATCTCCACACAGCCATTTGGCTAATAATAACTAACTCATAGACGAAGTTAATGTCTCATGGATTATATCTCAGTAGCATCCCTGTTCCCGTTGCATAGTTGGAGGAAAAGATGGAAAATGTGCAACTGATATAACGCACCCAAAGGATTTACAAGATGCATAACAATGATTGACAGAAGGGAACATTATTGTGGTTTTGATAGGCTCCTGGAAGATAGTTTGATTAGTCAGTAAGAGTGTGATCAGTTAGGAATATTGTTAGATGGCCTTAGGTGTTGGTCTTGTTAGTCTTAGCTGCTAGTAGTGGTTAGAAGAGAATGAGAAGTATAAAAGGGAGGGGTTAGTGGTTAGAGGGATCATGTCTGATTAGCGGGAAAATTTGGGAAAACTTGGAGAACTGGTGGTCTCCCGAATACCACCATTGTTAGGGTTTTCTTTGTAATTTTTATATTCTTTCATCAATATAGTTCTATTTTTCTGTTCAAATTGCTCTGTTCAAGTCCGGTTCTTATCAGTTTCATTTATGCGAGCCATAAATTATAATGCTACCATGTTGGCCTTTTCCCACTTAGGTCATGTTAAACCAAAAAGAAGATAATGCCAAGAACTTACTTGTTTGAAACTGAGCAGGTACTGAATGAAATATCCGCCCAATGACAACTGAAAGGACTGTCATAAGTGAAAGAGCACCCATTGAACCTAACAAGACCTGTTAAATGATTGCATACCTTGTAAGAGCAAGTCATTCATAAATAAATCCACATAAATATGTGCTTTTGCAGAAGATTCTCAGTAAACCAATGCGACCGAGCGGTTGAATGAACAGGAAATTAATGTACTTTAGGAAGCTTAACATGAAGCTTCCAGAGATTCGTAGCTGAACAAGTTCAAGAACAAAACCAAGATTGGAAAAGATGAAATCAACTAGTGATCTTTACTGAAGATAACAAATGTACACTGATACGCGGATCTTCAAGGGTCCGCTGCCTCCCCGTACTTGGAATGGTTTCAAGCTTTTCTCAGAAACATTGATTACCCGAATGATCCCATTTTCCTGTTTTCCCCTCCCTTTTATACACTCTCTTATTCATTAACTCCTAACAATCTTTCTTAGCAAGCTACTAATACTAACAATCTTTCTCAGTAAGCTATTAACAATCTCCCCAAACCAGAAACCAACTTCCTAAGCCCGTTTATTCTTCCTAATATACACTTGCCTGAGTAAGGGCTTATCAATTACAGCCCCCCTCAAAAGTGTCTCCTTGTCCTCAAGGTGAAAAGCCGGAAATTGGCGCTGAATAACATCAAATAGCTCCCATGAAGACTCAAAGTCAGGAAGATGGCGACATTTGATCAGAACTTCCAAAGAACCAGTGGTGGGAGAGAAACGGGTATCCAGGACTTGGTCCGGTTCAACCTGCAATGTCAAATCCTCGGACAAGATGGGAGGTAAAGATTGAGGAATATCCACAGAACCAAGAGCCTTCTTCAAACGGGAAATATGAAAGACAGGGTGAATCCTAGCATGGGAAGGAAGTTGCAGCTGGTACGCCACTGGGCCGACACGAGCAAGAATCTGAAAAGGCCCGTAATAGTGAGGCGCAAGCTTTTCATTCATCACACGCGCCAACGCACGATGTCGATACGGCTGGAGTTTCAAAAAAACCAGGTCTCCCACTTCGAATGTCACGGCGCGGCACTTCTTGTTGGCATGTTCCTGCATAGACTATTGAGTGCGGCCCAAATGGTCTTTCAAGTCAACCAAAAGCACATCTCGATCGCATAGCTGCTACTCCAATTCTGATGTGGCCGTGGAACCGGCCTCATATGGAACCAACCGCGGAGGATCTCGACCATAGAGAGCTTTGAAGGGCGTCATAGCAGCCGAAACATGAAAGCTCGTGTTGTACCAAATTCCGCCCACGGTAGGTGTGTAAAGCACTGCTGAGGTTGCCCGGAAACAAAACAACGTAAGTAGGCCTCTAAACAGTGATTGACGACCTCTGTTTGCCCATCCATTTGTGGGTGATACGCCATACTCCGACACAAAGTGGTGCCCTGTAGCCGAAAGAGTTCCACCCAAAAGTGGCTCATAAAAACCTTGTCTCAATCGGAAATTATACTCCGCGGAAAACCATTAAGGTGAACTATGTCTCGGACAAAAGAAGCAACCACTGTTTTGGCCGAAAACGGGTGTTTGAGGCCAATGAAGTGTCCGTACTTGCTGAGACGGTCAACGACAACCAAAATGGAGTTATAGCCGGCGGATTTAGGTAAGCCCTCAATGAAATCCATGAAAATGTCTTCCCAAACTCGATGAGGTATGGGTAGAGGCTGCAACAAACCCGCAGGTGACAAAGTTGACGACTTATGTTGCTGGCAAATGACACAAGCAGCCACAAAAAGCTCGACATCCCTGCGCATACCTTTCCAATAAAACTCCATTGCCAACCGCTTATAAGTCTTGAGGACCCCCGAATGGCCGCCAATCTTACTACTATGAAACTCACGCAACAAGATTGGAATAAGAGGGAATTGTAGAGGAACCACCAACCGGCCTTTGTAGAGTAAGTGCCCCCTTTGAAGAGAAAACCCCTTTAAGAAGGAGTTCCAACCAGTAACTCATCCTTGATTTTGTTGAGCCCCGGATCCGCCTTGACCTGCCGCTGCAATTCCTCAATATCAAGCACAATTGGAGTGGTCATGACCATTAAAGCAAGCCCCACTTGTTGCCTCGACAGGGCATCGGCCACCTTATTTTCCGTACCCGGCTTGTATTGAATCTCAAAATCATAGCCAAGCAATTTACATAGCCATTTCTGATGCTCCACACTCACCAATCGCTGTTCCAATAGAAGCTTCAAACTTTTATGATCGGTGCGCACCACAAAACGTCTTCCCAACAAATAGGATTGCCATTTCTGAATGGCTAACACAATGGCCATTAATTCCCGCTCATAGACTGATTTGGCTGGCTCAAGCGCGCGCCGAAAGAACTTGGCTAAAATAAGCGATGGGGCGCTACTTCTGCATCAAAACGGCCCCTATGCCAAACCCCGAAGCGTCGGATTCTACCACAAAGGGGGTTGAGAAAAATCTGGCAAAGCTAGCACAGGAACCTCAGTCATAGCTTTTTTCAAGTGCTGAAAAGCATCCTCGACCTCAGAATTCCATTAGAAGGCGTCCTTCTTAAGCTGTTGCATCAAAGGCCATGAAATATGCACGTACCCTGCCACAAAACGACGGTAATAACCTGTGAGGCCAGGAATCCCCGTAATTCCTTGATGGACTGCGAAGTAGGCCAATCCAACATAGTATGTATCTTGCTGGAATCCGCCGAGACACCTTCCTTAGAGACAATATGCCCCAAGTACTCCAATTGCTCCTGTGCGAAGAGACATTTTTTTTTATTGACATACAATTGGTTTGCTTCCAAGACCGAGTGACCTCTGTCCATATGCTCCAAATGGTCCTCCCAAGAACAACTGTAAATCAAAATGTCGACAAAGAATACTAGCACAAAGTGACGTAAAAACGGCTTTAATACCTCATTCATCAAATACTGAAAGGTAGTCGGCGCATTTGTCAATTGGAAGGGCATAACGAGAAACTCATAATGACCCTCGGACGTGCGAAAAGCAATCTTAGGAACGTCCTCGTCACACATGCGGATTTGATGATATCCTGATTTCAAATCTAGTTTAGTGAAAATGGTGGCCCCACACAACTCATCCAACAACTCCTCAATCACCGGAATCGGAAATTTATCCGGAACCGTGGCTTTGTTTAGCGCTCGATAATCCACACAGAATCTCCAACTGCCATCCTTCTTGACGAGCAAAACCGGACTGGAGAAAGGACTTGTACTCAGTTGTATAATTCCGGCCGCCAACATTTCCCTTACCAACTTTTCTATTTCACTTTTCTAAAAGTGTGGGTATCGATAAGGCCGGACACTAATCGGACCAGTGCTATCCTTAAGAATTATGTGGTGGTCTTTCACTCTGTGAGGGGGTGAACCAGTTGGCAAGTCAAGGACAACGGCATGCTTCTGCAACAGTAATCAGAGCTGCTCGTTGCCTTCCTCTATCTTGCTGTGGCCATGCTCTACACTCAAATGACTCAGCTCCAAATAAATGCCATGGCCCTCATGACGAATTGTGTGCATCATGACCTTGAGGGAAACCAACGATCTCGTAAGACTAGCATCTCCCTTCAACGTTACACTCTCCATGTACTTTAAATCTCATTACTTGAGTCTTCCAATTGACATACTTCCTAGAGTCTCAAGCCATTGCATTCCTAGGATCACATCTATTCCTCCCAACTCTAAAGGCAAGAAATTTTCAATTATGGTCAAGTTTTGCGTGGACAACACCACTTCTTTACATAGTCCCTGCCCTTGTACCGACTCTCCCGTGCCAATTTGTACACCAAAACCAGTTGTAGGAGTTATAGGTAGCGATAATTCGGAAGCCAATGTGAGAAATAAAATTGTGTAGCTCTGGAGTCGATTAGGACAATTACCTCACAGTGACCAATCTCTCCCTTAATCTTCATGGTCTTTGGTGTAGTTAACCCCATTACGGAATTCAATGATAGCTCAATCACCTCAGTCCGTCGCAACTCCTCCGACTCCTCTTTTGTCTCCTCCAACTCAATTTCCTCATTTTCCAAGTCATCCTCACCGCTAACTAACATAATCCGCAACTCCCTCTTCTTACAACGATGCCCAACAGTAAACTTTTCATCACAACAAAAACATAATCCTCTATTTCTCTTCTCTTGTAACTCCGAATCGGATAATTTCCGGAATGGAAAATCCTTCTTTGACTTCTCGACACTAGGGCTGCCTTGAGGCTGATTCGCTGTTGTTCCCATTGGCGGATTTGCTGTGATTTCCGTTGTCTGTGGCCGCCAAACCCGAGACCCTCCCATCTCCCTCCGCAACAACATATTTTTCTCTTCAATTCGCTGCGCCATATCCATGATTTCGGAGAGTCCCTCTAGCTTAAGTAAGCGCAATAAAGCCCGGATGTCAGCCCTCAATCCATTCACGAATATGCCTTCAAGGATCTCCTCCGGCACGCCTTGTAAAGGGGCAGCCGATACCTCAAAATTCCAGCAATATTCAACCACCGTACTTGTTTGCCTTAGCACCAAAAACCGCTCACACAAATTCCCCTCTTGAGAAGAACAAAAACGTTGTAGGAGATCCACCTTGAACTCAGTCCAAGTGACGAAAGGTCGCCGCCGATTCTGCCATTGAAACCATGATAATGCATCTCCTTCTAGGGCAATACCGGCGGTAATGAGTTTCTCCCTCTCTGAGAATCTATTGATGGAGAAAAATTGCTCCATTCTAAATAACCAGCCATCGGGATCAATCCCACTGAGCAGTGGGTAATCCAATTGCTTTCGCCGAACCCGTGACAACTCCTCACCTCCCCACGGCTCTCCATAGTTACCGATGAAGTCCAGGGGATCCTCAACCTCGTTTTCTTCCCAACGACGTCTACCATCCCTGCCGGCGTTCACGCCAAATCTGATTCCCTCGTAACAGCCATCCACCCTCAGCCTAGGTCCTCCATTAACCGCACGAGGTCCTCTTCCTCCTTCTCCATTTCGGCCGCCACGCAAGTCCCGACCTTCTTCGAAAGTCCCACCGACTCGGGAATCGCCGCGCCGTCCCTCGCGAAGCACCCTTTC